TAAAAATAAATAAAAATAAATAAAACTACTAGTCCTGTTGCCCCTTTGAGTGACCCACCCTCAGCTTCCCACCATATCTCCTTTGTTGGTTACAACAGTGATGGAACTACCTGCCCTCTTTCCTTCCCAGGTCCTTTCTGCCCATCTCAATGCCCACCGACACCCTGGAACACATATATACACTCAACACACACATCTAGTGCCACCCCAACACCACCACTCACAAGCTGTCCCTGCCTCTAGTATTCAGCAATCTGGGGAAGACCTACTGAAGTGGATCACCAGCATCCACTCATCACCCCTCACCAAAATCCCATCTACCCCATCCCCCAAACTCCTAGCAGAACCGGTCCAAAAAGATTGTAGGTGGAAGTAAGACCAGGCTACTCTCCCAGATTCTCTGATGTAAGACCCAGATTGAAGGTAAAGGACTCCAACTGCAACAACCACCACTGAAGCAGCAGCCAGCAATGCCCAGCAGGGAACAGAGAGCCACAGGGCTCAGGATAATAACCAGAGCCCAGTTACCAGCAATGCGATAATAATACCAATAACAGTAGAAGTTCTGCAGCATCTACACAGAACAATTATTTGAATCACCCCAGGGATCTAGATAGTCCTGCTATATCTCCCTGTAATTGAAAATGAGGACAATCAAAGCAACAGCCTTTAATCTGGATAATGCTGAGAGTATAATACAATTTATATTTCTGATTTAACTACCAAGACTCTGCTGTTTTACTACTAGAACAATTCTAACTTTATTATCTTAATATAATAACAAAAAAAAGGGTATACATTTAGGTGGAAATAGGGATAGGTTACAAAGAATAACAAAGATGGCCTGAAATTGATGTCACAAAGGCTAACACTTAGAATGATTTGAGGCTGACAAAGAATAAGAACACTAAAAGCTTCTTCAGGGTGAAGGAGCAGAATTGAAGCTTAAGATTCACAGAAACATAGTCAAGATTAATACTTACTAACTCTGAATCAGTATAAATCTCCAAGTTCAAATTAACTGCACCCTAAGAACTCACTAATGGCTTTCTGAATCTGTATGTATTATCTTTGAGAAATCTGGAGAATAGGTAAAGTGCCAGATGATAGAAAGAGGACAAGATCCATGGAGCACATCACCGAATGTTAACACTTATACCTGGAATATTCCCTAGCAGATCACAAAGCAAACAAGTTTAAGCAACTTAACAAAAAGGCACAATTATAAGCCAGTAAGGATTTGTCACAAACAACTCTAATCATATCAACTTCATTTCATTTTTTTATCCTTCATAAATTGTAGGAATTGTAGAAGTTCCTCAAATCACTTGATATATGGGATGCCATGACAATTAAGTGGATTAACAACTGGCTCAAACAATTCAGCAGTTAATAGTTCCTTTGGGGAAGATCAGTGTTTGGTGCTAGGCTCTGTACTCTTCAATTGTTTTTAATGATTTGGATGAAGAGGTAAAATAAATGTTTTATCAGATTTGCACATGACACAAAATTGGGTGGGATAGCTAGAATATTATAACAGAAACAAAACTCAATGACTTAGATAAGGGGACTGAGGGTCACTCATCAAGTTTACAGATGACACAAAGCTGGGACTGATGACTAGAGGGGAGAGAGAGATTTAAAAAAGATGGAGAGAGGTCTGAGCAATGAGCTGAAATGAACAGAATGATATTTAAAATTTAAAATATAAAATTCCAAATCTAAAAAATGAAGGTACAAGTATAAGGATGTGGGAGGCCTAGCTTAGCAGTAATACACATGAAAAGAATCTGGATGCCCTTGTCAAGTACAAGTTAAACAAGAGCCAACAGCATGATGGAACTGCTAATAAGGCAAATGTCACCTTAGGAAGCATTAACAGGAACACAGAATCCAGATCACAGGAAGTAATTGTTCTACTCTACTCTGCCCTATTCAAATTCCCATTTGGAGTCCTATGCCCAATTCTTGGCATCACCATTCAAAAACTGATGGTGACAAACTGGAGCAAGTTCAGAGGGTTACCAAGATAGTGAGAGGTTCAGAAACCAAACCTGATGAAGATCAGCCAAAGGATCTAACATGTGTAGCCCACAGAAGATACAGTTGAGAGGAGATACGATAGCAATCTTCAATATGTTAAGGGGTTGTCATGTAGAAGGGGGAGCGGACATTCTCTGTTGCCCCAAAGGGAAGGACCAAAACCAATGGGCTGAAAGTACAGGGAAGTAGATTTAGGTTAGATAGGAACTTCCTGACTATATAAGTTGTCAGCAAATGGAACAACCTGCTATTTAAAGTAGTGAGTTCTAATCTGCAAGAGCTCTTCAAACAGAAGCTGAATGGCATCTGTCAAAGATGATTTAATAGAATCTGCAATGAACAGGAAGTTGAACTAGATTACCTTTATGGTCCCTTCCAGCTTTATGATTCTATGACTGAAAATAACAAAGTGAAATTTAACCAGAACAACTGCAAATTTCTTCACTCAGGAAACAGAAATGAAAGGTTTCTGTGGGGGATACCTGGCTTGGCTTGGCAATAATACTTTTGAATAACATTTGGGAATAATAGCCTTGAGAACAGAAGAGTAATACCATTCATGTACCTAAAATATGTCATCAGAAGACACTCAAAACCTGTTCTGTATCATTCCAGATCAATACATTATAACTAAAGGAAGTCAGATACTGGCTGAATATTAGGAAGAATATCCTAACAATAAGGGCAGTTCAACTACAAATTTAATTAACTACAAAGACGACAAGCTACTCTTCACTGGCTGTGTTTTAGCAAAGGATAGAGAGATAATTTCCAGGATGCTTTCATTTGGAATTCTCCATATAGCGTGAGGCTGACCTTGCTGGCCTAACTTACCTGTCCAACTGCATGAATCTATGTATTTCTCTTTAGAATGTTAAATTCAAGGAGATTTATCCTAAAATAATAAAATACAGGACAATAGCTTAATTTTTTTTATTTTTCATGTCAGGTTTTGCTTTTGGAAAAATTAATTTCTGGGCACTTCATCTGAAATTTACTTCACTATCTCTGTATTTGTACAATGAGATACAGAAATTCATGTGCTCAAATAAAAATGTAACGTAGGTGCTACTTGGTGTCTTTAAACTAACAGCCATTCTAACAGCTTGGTATAAACCAAGAGCAGAAAATTAAGTTTAAAAAAAGCCATATCCAAATAAAATGGTATGTAAGATTGCAAACAGCTAATAAGTTACAGTGCTTTCCTAAGTCTAGATCAATGTATGTCAGTTGGATATATATTAAATTAATTAAAACAAGCAGTAATGATCTATTGGTGCAAAACAATAATGTGTTTTATTAGGTTATTTATTAGGTTTGGGTTGCAAATATTACACAAACTCAGCCATTGTGCTTTGTAAACCATGGTTTAGAGCTTAATACACTGAATAACCCAACCAATTGTTATGCACAAGACTATACTTGTAATGCTGGCATGTCAATGCTCATAGTATGCTCTTTGGAAAAAAATGAATCAGAAAGGAATGAAAGAGAAGGACAGAAGTTACTATTAAGACTGGTCTTGATGTCCTCACCTTAAATCTCTTGTCTTGCAGAACTTTTTTAATGGCAACCAGCTCTCCTGAGTCACAGAGTTTGGCTTGATAAACAACACCAAAAGATCCATTCCCGATCACTTTAGTGTCTGTATAACTAACTTCTTGAGGCCTATCTGGACCTTGTCCGGGAGTTGCTACTACTGTAGTCACTTTGCTGCCATCTTTGTCTCCTGGAACAACAACAAAAAGATGAGATACTGTTAAATTTACACTGGAGGAGAAAAATTTTGCATGGCATGATTTAATATATTGGTCATATAAATAATTATGTTATGAGAATCATCTTTTTAATGTCTCTGCTATGAAAGGATAATCTTTTAACCTCAGATACAAAAGGTGTGCCCTCTAAAGTCATAGAAAATTAAATTTTAGCTCTGATCAATAGACTTACATGACCGGCATTAACAGATCACTGTTTCCTGCACCACTGAGAATAGAAAACTAAACAATCTGATCCCATCAGCCACTGATTATCAACTAGCAGGGACCAGGTTGCTAATTTCCCATTCTCATTTACAATGGGAAATTAACAATCTACAGTGGATCTCTAAGAGAAAGAAGAACCAAGAAAGATTACTAACTAAAAGGGTATGTGATTGTTGGATATATATACTATATAGGGAAGGGTGCATGCCTTATGAAGGTCCACTTCTTGCATCCTATACAGTACTTGTCTTTTAAAAAACATATCCCTATTTCTCCAAAAAGCCAGCCACTCCCATATGACACATAGTGCTACCAACATTGTAACCTTCAACCCTCACAAAAATGTTAAGTCTAACCCTTGCCCACCCAAAGATTGCCCACTCCCAATGTAAAATTTAGATTCTCATAAAACAGGGAAAAGTATAGTTCATATGTAATGCAGACTGTGGCTTATTTATTCATTTATTTATTTAGAAAACTTATGTGACCACTTAGTTGATGCATGATAATCCTAGGCAACTCACAGCAACAGCCCAGAAAAACAAAAAATATAACCTTCCCTCAAAAGACTTCTCACCACTGCACCACAACATCCCATCAACTCTACATCTGCGGGACTCACTTCCAACCTAGCCCAGTGCTTAGGTAAAGAGCCAGGGCTTCATGGCCCTCCCACGGGTTAAGAGGGTGGGAGCCCTACAAATCGCAGGGAGTAGAGGCTATTCCAAAAAGGGCCAGGGTAGCCATGGAAAACGCACGCCTCCAAGGTCTTGCCAGATGGCAACATTTAAGAGAAGAGACCTGGAGTGTGCCACTATATCTGATCTGATGGGAGGGGCAGATATCCTTAGGAAGAGGTGGTCCTGCAGATTACCTGGCCTCATGCCATTCAGGGCTTTAAAGCTGATAACCAGGACTTTGAATTGTACCTGAAACGAACCGGAAACCAATGAAGCTTGTGCAACAGAGTATAACATGGGAAAATCATGAAACGCCCCTCAGTTGCAGTAATCCAACTGAGAGGTGACTAAGGCATGAGTGACTAAGCAAGGCATCCTGGTCCAGGAAATGGCATAATCAAACTTGTATATGGCATAGACAAACTTGTACTTGTCACTGTACCTCCATCTGACCCTTACAGCAAACTGTGTTTGTCATCTGTTTCCCAGCAACAAACCATAATTAGAAATCATGATTCGCTAAGATATAGGAAGCAACAATGATTGATAAATAGAACTTCTCCAAAGGCTGATTTGCTCTTGCTGTTTTTTCTGCCAAATGAGACTTTCCTGCTGATATCTGCCTGGCAACAGGAGAGAGTTCCCCACCCTATTAATTCCTGATCAGAACACCTCTTAAGGCAGAGCATGTAGTTTGCAGTTGCTTCAACATCAGAAAGCCATTGACCAATAAAGCTGTGTAAACCTTTGGATTCAAAGGCAAAAAGTGCTTTGGATTACATATGATAGCTGCAGAAGGCAGCTGCAGATCTACAATCTGAAGAAATGATACACAAGTAGTCCTCACTTAACCATTCGTTCAGCGACCATTCAAAGTCACAGAGGAACTCAACGAATGGTAGTTATGCCCGGTCCCCGAAGTTATGGCAGCTGCAGTACCCCAACACCCACACTTACAACCGCAGGGGTGCTTCAACTCCACCCACCCACCTATCTCCCTCCTCATCTCTGCTCTCTGCTGGCCCTGCTGGCCTCTGCTGGCCCTGCCACCCTGCACTCTGCCACTCCCAGCTGACCTTTGCCGTCTTCTTGTTCTGGCTACTGACAAAGCGCACTCTGCCTGGCAGCAGCTTTTCTTGCAAGACCAGGCCTGACACAGCCAGCAGCTGCTCTGCAAAGGGCCAGGCCAGCTGCGCTTTGTCAGCAGTGGGAGCAAGAAGATGGCGAAGGTCAGCTGGGAATGGCAGAGAGCAGGGCGGCAGGGCCAGCAGAGGACAGGGCAGCAGAGGGGCGGAGTGCAGGGTTGCCAAAAGGGCAGAGATGAGGGGGGAAATAGTGGGTGGGGGGAGTTGAAGCGGAAGCAGGCATGGCAGGCAGGAGAGGTAGCTGCTGGCCACGCCAGGTCTTCTTCCTGAGGTTGTGCAGTGATTTCCTCACAAAACCTCAGGAAGAAGACCTCACATGGCCAGCAGCTGCATTGCAAAGGGCCAGGCTGGGTGCATCTCTTCAGCAGAGGGAGCAAGAAGGCAGTGAAGGTCAGCTGGGGTGGTAGAGCACAAGGCAGCAGGGGCCTCAGAGTGCAGGGCAGTGAGGGCAGCTGTAGCTTCTGTAATCCTGTGATCTCTTGGGAGATGATGTCCCACAGGACAGTGACAAAAAACGGTATCTTCCTGGGTCCTGCCAGATGGCACTCTTTAATGGACAGGACATATAACATGCCTCTCCTGCCAGATCTGATGGAATGGGTAGTCATGGGTGGGGAGAGGCAGACCTGCAAATAATCTAGCAACATGCCATGGAGGCCTTTATAAGTAACCACCAGCACCTAGAATTGACCTATTGGCAACCAATGCAGCTTGCAGAATAGACATATAACATGCACAGATTGAGAAGTGCCCATAACTGCCTGTGGTGCTGTACTTCGGAGGAACTGCAGCTTCTGGATGCTCTTAAAGAGCTGCCCCATGTATAGCGCATTGCAATAGTCCATCTGGGAGTTGACTGAGGCATGGGTGAAAGCCTCCCGGTTCTGGAAAGGGTTCAATTGGTGCAGAACACAAAGCTGTGCAAAGGCTCTCCTAGTCACAGTCCTACCTGTTCCTCAAACAGGAGTCACAAGTCAAGGAGGATTCCCAAAACTGCACACTGGTTCTGTTTGGGGTGCTGCAACTGCATCCAGATCAAGAGATGAAGAATCCTTGGAACCAGGAAGCCCTAGAAACCAAACCCACTCAGTCTTGCTAGGATTGAGTTAAGCCTGTTCTACCCCATCCAAACCTCCAGACACAAATTCTCCATGACATAACTTGGATGGCCCAGGCTGGAGATATAAAGTTGGGCATCAGACCATGCACCAGACCTTCAGGGACAACCTCAAGTTTCATATAAAACCCTACTGGGTCCATCAGTCTCCATCTGCTACCAAGGCACACATCACTGTCATTGGGTGGACCACTCAGTCATAAAAGTCAGGTGGAAAAGTACAATTTTCCAATAACTACTTTATGCAGTGTATCAGATAGGTGAATACCATTAACGTTTCTCATCTTGCAAAGGATGATGCATCTTATTGCAGTCAGAGGACATCCACAAGAATTCCTACAATGATGAGAGGGACTCACAGTTCCATGAGCCTCTATAACAAACCAGTGGCCCCATGCTTCTGAGGCATGGGTTGGAGTGATTTCAAAAGGAAATTATCCTAGATAAAGAACTCTAGTCAATCCTTTAACTAGTAAGACAAACAGCTAGCAGTAGCTTTTCTCAACCCCCAGCACTCTCCAGATATATAGATATACTGAATTAAGTCCTGAATTACTAAGACAGCATGATTAGTGCTGAGAACTCTGGGAATTGAATTCCTCACATCTGGAGTGCACTCAAGTTGAGGAAGACTGGTCTAAAGAATAGCAATCAAGTTTTAGTGGGGCTCCCCAGCAGCAAGATAACCACAGCAAACAGAGGAAATGGTTTCCAACTCACTCAGTGAAGAAAATGTGTGGTATCATCAAAAGCTGAGTAGGTTAACTCTATGTGGGTTAACTCAAGAAAAGAGTTAACTCTAAACATTAGAATAGGACTTCTTGCGGAACACCCTTCATGACTTGGTCAGTAATTTCATTATGCAAATTGTGCAAATCACAGAGCAGTCTCATCTATATACCAGTGCTGGGAGAGATGTGGGATCATCTGAATAGAAGCAAGAAAGCTGTCCTCAATTTGAACATAGTATGTAGTTGCCTCTAAAAGTTCTCTGAAGGAATAACATGTTAAGCTTTTAAAAGGGAGATGCTAATAAAAGAAGCTTCAACACATTTATGACTGAACTGAGATATAAAGAGTTCTCTACTCTGCAAAATTCAAAATTATAAAAGATGAGCTCTATAAAAGTTCAGGGGGAATGGATATTTAGGAAGAGGGCTAAACCCAGCTGCTGAGCTATAACAAGAGGTACAACTGACAAAAGTGTAAATGTCAAATATTAGTCAAAGAAATGATAGCATGCAGCTGTCTAGGGACTTGCTGAAGGCCTCACAAGACACTGGGGAAAAGGACATGGCCCTTGGGGCAACCTTTTCAGCCTCAAGGTCCACATGTTATGTGGATAGTAGATCAGAAGCTAAAGCTATCAGCAGTAAGAAATGTGATCCTTGCCTCATCAAGATAGTTAGGGAGGGAATATTAAGGTCTCCTCACCATGACATTCACCTTAATCAGTGTCTGGTTGCTGCAGCAATCTCAATGGAGTTGAAAGCACTACCAGAGGCAGGGGAAATTGGCAGCCAAAGTGGAGGAATTTGGCCACTCATGGGAAGCAAAAGAAATGGTCTAGGGACCTGAATAAGGGCCATCGTCTGCTTTGCTTTAAGACATTTTCCAGCTCAAAGGCTAAATTTGGTTACTGGGGAATGCTCTGAAGGTTGCATATGGCTGGAGTAAGAAAAAAAGCAAGTGTGACCAATATCTGCTAAATAACTTTCTTATATCTTTAAAATTCAGCTTTAAAATCAATTATTCCCTTTCCTACCTTACCTGTAAAATAAACTGCTCTTTCTAATCTATCT